CCCCCCTGCCATATTAGGGTCTGTGAATAATGATGGCACCTTAGTAGTCTCTTTTCTTTACTTCTTGCAGCAATCAGTTTAATTTTCTAGGTTTTTGAGATATTTGGCCTAGGTAATTCTTGAAGCTTTAACTGAGTACCTGAATATAGCCGAGTGAAATGTGATGGCTGTGGCAGAGATGGCCATGGCGATTGATCTAACACCTTTTTATGTTACCCTCCACTCATGTACAGCATTCCCAGATACTTGGAAGTTACAGTAGAGTCACTCAGTCCCAGTGCAGAATTGTTTACCTAATCTGTCACTGATACCTTCCAGACGGTATATAAGTATATAAAGGTAACTTAAAGAAAAAAAAAATAATCTTTGCAACATAAACTCAAGAAGTAAGCAGTGCTAGCCTCAATTATATACATTAGGATACTTTTGCTTAGGAAATGCCCAAGCCCTTAATTGTGCAGCCTAGCATCATTATCCAGTGATCACAAGCAGAAGAATGAAGACTGCACTGCATCTAATGCATTTTTAAAATTAATGTAGTCTATTTCTTTTTTCCTCATGGTGTCACTATAGGATAAAGTTAATGCTCTTTGGGTATTCTCTATACTGAAGCATATTTCCATTTCCTTTGTCTCACTCTGACTTTCTGTGTTTTCTATTATGTGTTCAGAAAATATGATGACAAATATACTGCCTTCAAATTTTGAGACTGCATGAATTTTTCATTTTGCTTTTTAAAAGGATTTAATATTACAAGAAATTTAGCTTTGGAAAAGGATCTGGAGAATTTGAGCAGTTCTTCTAATAACTTGAAGATAGGCATTGCTATGTTTAAAAAAATGACAAAAAGGCATGTACCTTACAATTAAGTGATTTTATGAAATTAAATCTGTGATAGATTTTCTATGTGTGAGGAAGAAATCTAAGGTCCTCAGTTTCCGTCTAAGTTTCACTTTTTTTATGTGGTTGTAAAGTGGTTTTTTAATTCATCTTTCTTGATTGACAACAAAAGTAGTTTTTGTTTTCCAAGCTGTTGGTGGCAAGAAGAGAGAGAGAATTTTGTTTAATTTACATACCGATAGCATTTTTGTGTGTCTAGTTGTTACCACTTTACCCAGACCCACATTCTCAAAGATATCTAGATACCCGACTTCTACAGTGGAAGGGTGAAAGACGTGGCACTAGCAAGTGCATACACATGTTAAGTAGGACTGCAGAGAAATTTGCTTGTCGTATTGTACAAGAGCAGGAGCCAGACATGGAGGTGCCATTTCCATTCCCTGCATTTGGAGTATATCCTTCCTGAAAGGCAAGGACCACGGGCCATTTCCCTGATTTCCCTTTTCTGCTTCTTCAGTGGGACAGCAGTGTTTGGGCTAGTTGCATTCAGGATTGAAATGAGGATGAGTGTGACTGTCTACTCAGTAGGAAGGAAATCATCCACCCGTTCCACAAAATCTATGTTCTGGTGTGAACTCTGGCTGCAAGTGAATCTTGTAGGTTTGTTTCAGTTAGCCGAGCTTGTGATCAGCCTCTGTCTAGCCTGGGTTACCAGAGCACAGGTGTGACAGTTAACTAGAACTAGTGTATTCGATGGTGGACTTGATAGCAGTATGGTCAGTTTGCTAGTTTAGCAAAGAAGTTGATTCACCTGAGGAAGATACAGAGCACTGAACAGTTACAGAGCTTTTCAGTAGAAGCTGGAGCATTATTCCCCTGTGCTTTCCAGTGAGCTGAAAATCCTGTCAGTATTTCCAGCAAGTGAAGAGTCCTTTCTTCTCCCCCTCTCTTCAGCTGGTCTTTTTACATGAGATAATGGATATCCCTCTTAGATAAGTGCCCACATCTAAGTATTGTCTCTAATTCTTATGCCATGTCTTTCATTTCCATGCTTGTCACTGCCACACGATTCCTCCATAGAGTCAATTGTTCTTTGGGGTGGTAGTTTGGAGACAGTTGAAGTTGCTATTTCTAGACTTGTCTTGATGACATCTTAGACATCATCCTCCAGTGAAGTGTGAAGCAGGACAGCTGAACAGCACACATTGAAAGAAATCTAGGGCAAAACTAAATGAGAGTTCTGTACATGGCACAAACTGCCTGTTTTAATCTCGAATGGAAGCTATAAACTCTTCCACAGTTGGATGTGAAAGTTTATTAGTTGTCTAGCATGCTGCTTTCTTTTCCAAAGGATTGACACAACCTTCTTCATGACCTGCTAATTCTCTTCCCAGTGGTCACCATTCCATGGTCATGCCAATTTTTTACACTGAGACATTGTCTTCAAGAGTGCAAGGCATGTGTAACGTTGTGGTTCTGCAGGAGAAGCAGCCTCTCAAACTTACTGTCAGAATATCAGAACAAGATATGCTGAGTGTCTCCTGCTGCCGGCTGTGCACAGTAGCTCCTCTGGCTTTTAACAGACACCAGGCCAGGTTGGAGGAGTCACTATGTCCAGTCTGAAATGCAACATCTGCTTTAGGATGGTCCCCACCTCCAGAATACTAAATTTCCCTGTTGTTTCCTCAGGAGTTTCTCCAGACTTTAAGCCTTTTCCCAGCAACAGCTTTTTTACCTTGCATATTAGAGACCTCACTATCCAAAAAATTCTCAAAATCTATTGTCACCCACACTTACCTCACTTGGATTCCAATTTCCTTATCTTCTCATGTCAAATGAAATCTACTTCCATATCATCTTTCTTCTTTTGCCTGTTCTCCACCCTCCCACTGTAAGGCAGTTGTTGCAATTACCTCCTGGTTATGCAACATCCATATGCTCTGATTTCTTCGCATACTTTCCTTGACTGCCTCTGCTTCCCTCTTACCTTGAAAAGAGGTCAAGAGTAACAATGGTTTTTACTTTCTGATCTTTTGGAAGTGTCTGGCTTTTTCCCTACCTTTACTTTTAAGACTGACCATTGTCCCCTTATTGCCTGTACACTTCCAGCATAGCAGGAACTTTAATAGAAAGTCACCCTGACCAAAAAGGACTAAAGGTCAAGTGGTAACTCCTCTGGGTTGATGGAGGTTTGTAGAAGTCTCTTTGGATCTGAAGAAAGGAATGCAGAACCACTGTCCCATGCCAGAGGACACTCCACGGACTTCTCTCCAACTGGCTTACACTAGTATCGGTTAGTGAGGGAAATGTTTTCCTCAAAAATCCCAAGTTTCTGCAAATACAGAAGTGCCTTATGCCTGTTAACCCTTCTTTCTCCTTCCAGTTTCAATTTATGTCTTCTGTGGGGGCTCCAGTCGTCCACTGACCCACCTGCATCCTGAAACTTTGCATGGTCATTCCCTGCCCCACCACTCCCATCTGTCTCAACTTTAATCAGTCTTGCTAGCCATCCTCCATCTCTTTTGCCCCAATTATCTCTCCCAAACAAGTTCAGCAGCTTAGTGTGCCACCTTACCTGCTTGACATCTCTTTGATGAACCTAGATCAAATTCTTCCTGCAAGTTGCCAGTTCTTCCTGTTGTTTCACTCCTTTCTGTTACATCTGCCTAGAGTTGTGCCGCAGCTCCTGTCTCATCCTTTCATTTTAGGGGTCACTCAGCTACATAAGAGGTGCCCCAGTTTTATAGCCTGGAAATCTGGCCACTTTGTACTTTTGGTGCCTGAAGTGAACGTGTTTTAGCGTACCTCCCTGTGCAAGTCTTTATAGGGTGCGATTAAATTTGAGCAGTCAGCAGTTCAGTGGTGCACCGAAGAAGCAGTTAATTAAGGACTTTAAGTATGAAGTATTTACCATCTGTAAACAAAATCTGTATTCTAAACCAAAACTGTCTCCTCAGCAATGCCTGGGTTTGTGCGGGACAAGATCCAAAGCCCAATGAAATCAGAGAAAGGGGAGGGGAAGAGCTTTCTCTGATTTCAGTATCCTTTGAATCAGGCCCTTCATGTCTTTTAGCAATGATAAAATGATGCACAAAGCAGTGGGACTGTACAACTTAATTTTATTTTGTGTGCTTTTATAGGATATAAATAAATGACAAAATTACAAAATTTATAACTGGAAGCCCAAGCATATTTACATAAGTATTTGTCGCAGTGAGGCTACTATTTACTGTTCTCCTATACAATTTTCCTTTTGGTACCATATTTTTAGTGTTATTTTTTTACTGTCAGTTGACTACGTACATATCAACAGTGAATAGGCAAAATATGTACAAGGAACTATTTTGTTCAAGTAAATTGAATACTGTATTAAAAGTATGTCATCACTCAGCGCTATGATTAAGTTTAACTAAACCATATACAATTATCAGGTTTAAACCAAGTTCAATTATCCATTTTTTTTTGGACTTTACCAACTGATGATTCTAACTGAAAACCTCAGCTGGATATGAAATAATAATTAAAAAAACATAAAGACAACCACACGATTTATCAATATCTCTATAATGAACTTCAAAATGATTCACAATTTGACTGGATAGAACAATATACGTTAAAATGTCATTTTTCTCCTATAGTGATATTTGTACTGTTATAATTCCAGATCTACATAAATATACATCATGGTATTATACAAATACTCCACAGACATTAAAAAAAATTAAAACACATCAAAGAAAATGTAAGTAAATCTTATTTAATCAAATATTAAGCAAATGCTTAACTATTTTGTTCCATGAAAACGTTTTTATTACTTTGGAATTTTTTTCTTTTTCTTGCTATTTGTATTTAGAAAATGTTTTGCGTAGAATTTTATCAACACTCTTCCAAACAAGCTTTCTGTGACAGAAATCTTGATAGCAAAATCCATGGTTTTGAATTTTTTTAGAACCACTGAGATTATTTTTTAAAAATACTTGTAGAATTCATGGCTATAGCAATGTTGAACTGCATAAACTATTATGTAGCTGTAGTAGAATGACCATTCTGCTTTCATTCCAGACTGATCACACAGAACATCCAGTGCACTGATGCTACAACTCTTATAATTTTCATAATGCTGCAATAGCAGTGGTTTACTTAACTTTAAAATAAACAATATTTGTCATAATTAATCTGGCTTCCTTCCATAAATATTCATATGTTTTCCTATAGTACTTCTCTTTCATAAAAATATCTAATAAATGTTTTCTGTGCATTATTAATACCTTTTTCTAATAATTCATAAAACTCTGATCCTTTGTTACAATGCAAGAGGTTCCGATTTCTGTACAGGATCAAAGGACACCAATGATTACATATAAAACCAGTGCACACAGAAATCAGGGTGCCTAATTTCTTCTCACTGTAATGAGTTCTTTATTCAACACAGTAATTATTAATGAATTCAGTGGTTTCACAAATACTCTATTTATTAATTCTGATTCTATTTCAATTAAAAACTGCCAAGGCTTAAATAAAAAACCAATCAAGTATTCTACTCATAGGCAGCATTAGTGTTAGTTTAGAGACCTTTTTTTTTTTTTGAAGTAGAATTCTAAAATAAGAAATCAGAGAAAGCACTGTGGCAGAGTCACAAGGGAGAACTGTGTGAAAAATAAGTTTTCTCGCTCCTCTTGTGGACCGTAATTTTAAAAGTCTTCATATAGTGTCATTCTTCTGTCAGTGCTGCAGGAAGAAGAACATCACCAGAAATGACTGTCAGCCTTTTTTGTTAGTTACAAGGCCACTCATACAGTGCAGTCTTCCTCTCTGCTGGATTGAAACATTGCCATAAAGGAAAGGCTGTGCTGTGACTGCTTGGCGTGCAAGGCACAACAAGGAACAGGGGGACAGTTTTGTATCAGAAAATTGTAGTTTCATACTTGGTATTAATGCCTCTTTTGGCTTCTTGTCCAGGTTCAACAATCCATGGTAGATTTGCAAGAGTCTTTTGTTCAGATGGATCTATCTGCTTTAAGACAAATGCAAACATACAGACGTGTTACCATCTCTGCGTGCAGCATTTCTAGCAGAACTTTCTTCTTTAAACTAACAGAACACAGAACAAACCCTGTACCGACACAGTCCTACAGCAGCGAGTGCAGTGGTCTACACTCCCATGTACCCATGGTTGCTCTCTTTTTCCTGTTTACATCAGAGCTGTGTCTATCCCCAGGCTATGGGGCATCACAGGTTGTTAAAGCTATTTTTAAAGATAAACTTGATCCTGAGCAGTCCTTTGGTTACCGAGACAGATGATTGCATCAGGAAATGTTCTTTTTTTTTAATTTTATGGATGAAGATTCTGTGGCAACGGACAACAAAGTGTACAACCATACATTTTTTCCCCCTTCTTCTCATACAATAATTAAATATCACAGAGTATGGTTCTCACTTTATGGCCAGTGAATATAATACAGTGTGTGGTCATTTCCCCCTTTCCCTCCCAAGTCACCCTGTGCCTGTGTTCTCACTTGATTTAAAATAGTTTTCATAATTTTTTAAAAATGTCTACCATAAAACAATATTTCTCTGTCATCTGTGCAGTTCAGGAGGGCACTTTAAAGGCAATGAATATGTAGGCTCCAACGAGCTTGGATTCATAGGAGTTTGCGATTCCAAAGAAAATATTGAAAAGTCACATTGAATCCCAGTTTTGGCACAGGAGGGTCTGCCAAGGGTCCAAAAAAGAAAAAAAAGGTAAGAAAAGAAGTTGCTTGGTATAACAACATCGTTTTAAATTGATTTGGATTTGTAATTTGATTAGGATGCATATGCAGTGATTGTGTATCAAACAAGTTTGGTGCTGGTTTTATTTCTCAATTCAACATCAGGAAAGTCCATGGAACTGCAGAGTTTTAAAGGTATGCATTGGCTGTGATCCTCCATTAGAATCAGACTGAGTCAATTAAAGCTCTGCAATTACTATACAAGACATATGCACAACATTAGCCAAGCAAAACCTTAACCTGGAGGAATACGAAATGAGCAACTGTTTGAAGCGGTTGCCTGTGCTGCAATGACACAACCCCACTGGCTGATGAGCCGAGGTGGCACAATGGAGACATGGAGCACTTCTGACTCAACAGGTATATCTATTTATACAGCTTCTTAATTGTATTGCTGAATTTTGTTGTTTGCATGCACCCACTGCTTTCTACTTACCACTGACTTCCGAATACTAACACGTGGCTTGGGAATAGGCTTGGAGGGTTTATTTTCAAAGCTTTCTGGGAGGGTTGAAGAATGGCCCCCTTTTCGTGCTTGTAGTGCAAGCTGATAGGCCACCTCAAATGCTTGTCCTAGTGTCAGAATGATTTCGTAAGCTAAATTCTGGAAAAAAACAAAACCAGTTAACATTGGAGTGAAGTTGAATTATCGTCAGATACGTGAAAGTGGCGTAGTACTGTCTACAGAAGTGATTTTTAACGTAAATAATTAAAATCACACTGGTAGTACTTCCTAAGTCTCTGAAATATTTACATCTGTCATTTGATTTCTCATTGATTAAAACCAATCCAAGTGTAATTTATTGTATTGAAAGTAATTACTTCTAAAACCTTTGAAAACATTGTCTCACTAAACTTGAACACAGGGAGTGGGTGAGTATGTGTCATCTTCTTTCAGAACAAGTACATCAACCCCCCACAAATTCCCAGCTTACCCTGTATCCACTGCTCTCTAGATCCCACCCATCTTGCACTACTGCACCCATTTGACATTCCACCTTGCTCTTTTTCACACCTCCTCTGCTGACTGACCTGTCCTCCAGAGCTGGCAGCGTGATGTGCTGCTTCCCTGTCTGTGTGCCCCGGGATGCTCTGTGCTCTCACTGAACAGCACAGGAAGGGCGTGCAGCATTGGTGCAGACGTTTTCAAAAGGCAAAAGGACAAAAAAGCAAATGTCGAAAGTGCACACTGCTTCACAGATACAGTGCACCTATGTATGCATGCATGAACGTCAGTCCTCTGCTTTGGATGCGTGTTTCAAGTGCTGGGTCAACCTTGCTCATTGTGTTGTTTTCTGGAAGTAAAGGTATTTGAGCTTCAACTGGAACGTCAGAATACTCATGTAGTGTGAGGGTTAGTGTGTATGACCAAAGAAGTCAGGCTCTTAGGACTGAGGCCAGTTTGGTGGTATAGCTAGAAGACTTTAAAGATCTCTTTGCATATGTAGAAGAAAACCAGTTGAAAGGTCTATAATGCATGAATGAAGAACCAGGGGGATCAGTATAAATATTTTTTCAGTACAGTTTTACATCAACAAAAAAGCAGCTGTGAGGTTCAAATTGGACCTTAATCTAAACTGCAAGTGAATTTCTATGGTAATTTTTCTTCAGGTTTGTGGGTTTGTTTTGGTATATCTATTTCTAGGCTCCTACTAGAGCCTATTTCTAGGCTCCTAACTTTCCAATATTTCGACCCCTTGCAGAGCAAATGCAAGCCTGCAGGCTTGCCTCCTTATGTGCTAAAGTCTCCTTAGAATAATTCATAAATCTTCGATGTAATTGAGAAGTTACCTTCTCCTTCCTGAACCTCTGTAGCCTATAGTTGGAAGCAATCCTGCATTGCTTTGAAACTAGGAGATCCCTTAAAATTCCCACATTTCTGATATAATTTCAAATGAGATATCTCTTTAGCTAGTCAACTCTAACTCTTGAGTTTGCAATAAACCAGTAAGCAATGCAAGACACTTGGGAGTACACTATCTGCCCTTCAGCTGTTAAAACACAGTTAAAAGGATAAGCACTTTATTTCATGCTCTACACTGTAACTTCACTGTGGTCGTGAAGAAATTCCATACATTTATTATCACTAAAGTATACTGAGATAGTCTAGGCTAAATTCAGCACATTTAGCTCATTCTAAGAGCTTCTCATAAAGCTGCCAGCTCTGGTCTCTGTTAGGTCAGACAGAAAAATTATACTCCTCCACTGGGATATGCTCTCAGCTGTTATGACTGCAAGCCAGCCCAAGTTTGATAGCTTCCCAAATAAAAATGTCTGCCTGATTTGATAGCAGTAGTCTTCAAATTGTCTGCCCTTTAACTTAGGGAAACTGTCCAGGACCAAGAAACACTGAGGATGCAGTTTGCCAGTGTGGAGTAATAAATGAAAGACTAAAGAGACTATTATAAAGTACCCTGTCTTTTAGCAGAACACTGGCTATGGAATTAAGACCAATAAGGTATAATTGTTAAAAACTTACAGAATAATATTATTTGAAATTGAACACACCTATTAGTAGGACAAGAATATTATTTTAAAGACATCTTAATCTGCTCTCATGACAGTAAGATAGTATACTATATCATCAGGGGACTGTCTACAGTGGATATTATTATTGCTAAGGAATACATCAACAGGACAGGGTGTAGTAATGGCTTAGAGAAAAAGCAGACTGTAACACTAGGGGGACTGAGAATATGTACCGTCCAGTGGGGCATACAAACAGGTCAGAGACAGGCCTGAAAAGCTCTGAGATAAGAATGGAGACAAGCAGAGTTTGCCATGCAGACACATAAATCTGGTCTGGGTCCTGTCTCTGGTCAGAAGACACTACGATTTGTTTTCTTTCGTAGTCTATAAAATGAAAATATAAACCTGCCTGGAACCTGAAGGCCATGGGGAACATGTAACTGTTTCTGTGGTTAATAAATATTTGAATATAGCAATTAAAACAGAACATTCACTGTTCTGTTCATTATTCAAAATGTAAACTGAACCCTAACTTGTACATATATTTCATACATTGTGTACTACGGCAGAGCGTTGATGAAGAGAAGTCGGCAAATGGAGGCAAGGAGGGCTTTAAAACTGTACCTTGTAAAATTTTAAAAATGCATCTGCAAAACTGTATTTGGCAAAAACCAGAAGTAAATAAGTTTGGTTTGAGGAATTTCTCGCCTGTAGTCTTGGGAGAAGAATCTGAGAATTAGTTTGCATGGGCTATCCCAGAGAGGTAAGAGCATCCCCTGGGGATGGGGGCAGAAAACTAAACCACAAAAGCCACAGTGGAAATTCTTCTGATGGAGTGGGGAGACTATTGGAATGTTTTACATGGGGCACAAAAGGAAGGAAACAGGTCTGACTCCCTGAAAGAGACTTAACACAAAAGTTGCAGACCCCCTGGCCACTGTAGAAGACATTGACCCTGATAGCACCCCATCAAGCTCCATAGAAAGGAGGCAAAACTTTTAGGACCATGGTGCTTCTGAGGCTGCTACAATCCCATTGCTTGCTCGGCACAGCAGAGAAGGACAGTGAGTAAGCTAATGCCTTTAAGCAACAACTTCTGTGAGATGAAAGATTGAGGTCAATTGCCTTGTTTGCCATGTAATGTTACAATTCAATGCCCCAGTGCAAGTCTGAGTCAGGACTTAATTCAGCCAACCTATTACAATGGTTAATTGTTCTGTTACATTTTAATTGACTTTTTTTACCATGTAAGTTGCAGCAGGCACTGCTTCTTCACTGTGTTTTCATGCATCTATAAAGCTATGTTGAGGCTTCAGGAACATTTTAAGAAAGAGAGTAAGATTTCGGTCTTTTGAACTATAAAAACTTAAAAAGTCACTTGCAAAGGAGTTTTTTTTAAAAACTAACATTTTTGCCTTTTTGGGAAAGCACTTTGGAGATAATGGGGATTTTATGAGCTTTTGCTTGTTAAGTGAGGGTTTTTTTTTTTTTTTCTTTTTTTTTTTTCCTTCTTTAAGATCAATGTCAGATCTGGTCTTTTTTGAGGACTGAATTTACTAAAGAAGCTTTCTTTGGAATCTTGAAGAGGATTGGTGAGAGCTACCCATTGCATCGGATGTGTAGGAATGTCAGAGTTAGGACACCCTCTGTTCAAGGTACCAAACTTAAAATTGCAGTTGGCAAAATTGAGCAGAAGAGAGTATACAGAATCATTAAGTGAAAAATCTGAAAAATTTCCATCATTAATCCCCTGGGATGAAATGAGTTGTCTACTGCTTAGTTATACTAGAGTCTTCAGCGCCCAATGTTGAGGATTTCTACTATAAAAGCTTGACAAGAAGGGAAGGTTACTTACTAGTAACAGGAGTTATGAGAGATGCAGAGCTGACGTTACATATACATTTACACTGTTAAGTGTGCATATGCTTTATGCCTCCAGACTACAAATCTACTTTGTGGGGATCTGGAAAGGGCATTTGTCTGCGCTTTCCAATGTGTCAGCCCTTGTGCATTCAAGGGAAAAAAGAAAGCTCAGCTCGCCAAGGATGGTGTGAGGAGACCAACATGGCTGGCATTTTGCTTTGTAACAGCTGTGGACACCTGGCCTCCATGAAGCGTTCATGATCAGTCACTCCGGTTACTTAAATTCTTGATCCATCTCAGCTGTAAATTGGTGGACAAGAAGCTGGACATGAGCCAGCAGTGTGCGCCTGCAGCCCAGAAGGCCAACTACGTCCTGGGCTGCATTAAAAAAGGGGTGGCCAGCAGGGAGATGGAGGTGATCGTGCCCCTCTACTCAGCTCTTGTGAGGCCCCATCTGGAGTACTGTGTCCAGGCCTGGGGCCCCCAGCACAGGAAGGACGTGGAGCTCTTGGAGCGGGTGCAGAGGAGGGCCACTAAGATGACCAGAGGGCTGGAGCACCTCTCCTATGAGGAAAGGTTGAGGGAACTGGGCTTGTTTAGCTTGGAGAAGAGAAGGCTCTGGGGAGATCTCATTGCGGCCTTCCAGTGCTTGAAGGGAGCCTATAAACAGGAGGGGGAGCGACTGTTTACAGGGGTTGATAGTGACAGGACAAGGGGGAATGGTTTTAAACTGAGAAGGGAGATTTAGGTTAGACATTAGGCAGAAATTCTTCACGCAGAGGGTGTTGAGGCACTGGAACAGGTTGCCCAGAGAAGCTGTGGTTGCCCCATCCCTGGAGGCATTCAGGGCCAGGCTGGATGGGGCCCTGGGCAGCCTGCTCTGGTGGTTGGCAACCCTGCCCACAGAAGAGGGGTTGGAACTAGATGAGCTTTAAGGTCCTTTTCAACCCAGGCCATTCTATAATTCTATGATTCTCATTCTGGATTTAAAGCAATCATGGAAGGCAAACACTTCTGAATCCTTCCCTCTCTTCTGATGCAGCATAGCAAGATATATGTAACGGGAGGGTGGAAACAGGCCTTCAAAGCAGGTCTTTCAGGCTGCTGCAAAAGCCATTGATGTAGATGAGAGATTAATTTGCTCATAAACTGAAAGCTCCTTGTACCCCAATGTGCTCCATCTGAAGAAACTGGCCAGGAGCAACTGAACTGGTTTGACGTCTTCCACCCAATTTTCCTCAGAGAGGGGACTTGTCTGGGCATGCTATCTTTAGGTATTGCAAAGGAAATAATTTTTCCATTCTGGAGACATGGGGATGCCACACTGATCGTACCTGGATGATCATATGAACAGAGAAAAAAATTTTAAAGTCCCCTAATCCCCTGGAAGAAGTGAATGGGAAGAACTTTGAGACCTGAATACATGCTTTTTCTTCTCTGTTAAGTATGTATACTAGCAGTTTCCAGTTCTTATCCACCTTAAGTCTATGCAATAAAGGTCAAAAGAATATGATGTTATGCAGAGCACCAGTCTAATCCTTGGCATGAGGAAGAGCAATAATTGTTCCAGTTCCTGAGGAAGTGAAGGTCTTAAGAGAGTGATTTTTTTTTCCTACCCTTGCATATATTGTATTACCATAATATATATGATTTAAGATGCATCTTTTTTACACCTTATTGTGTATTTCTACCATTTTAAGACTTATTTTTCTTAACATGCTTGGACTTCTGTCCATTGACAAATGAGCAGGACTGTTTCTGTTAGCAAACTTGAAGATCAGGCTAACATAACTGTTAAGACTTTAAAAAGAAAATTCAATTTCCTGTATGCTTGTGTTCTGAATATCTAGCTATTTTTTACAGAGCTTGTACTTGCATAAGAAATGCTAGATCCTGAGAAATAAAACAACACAAAAAGAGAATATTTGAGTAGGTAACACCTCACTGAGGATGATGTTGCAGGGGAAAACTATGATAAGACAGTTAGACATTAAAGTTTCTGTATTGCTTAAAATAGCCATTTAAAGTGCTTGGGGTATTAAATGCTCCCCCAAAGGTATGGGAAGTGAGCAAAATGTTGTAATTATTCCTGGATCACTATTCTTTCCTTGTCAAGCAAGGAGAAAATGAATTTAATCTGCTATACCTGGATCTATGTTTGTGCTTGATTATTAAACCTATAAATGAAGCTGCAGTACTTTGAAACCATTAAGTAGTTAAATGGATCAGGAGAAATAATAACCTCCTTCAATCAGTCTAATTTCAGTTGATTCACTTATCACTAAAATCTATATAATGTAACATCTTGTTGACCATGGTTATCTATTTTTAACACAATCCTGAAGTTTTTTCTACTCCCTGTGGACACTAAAATGTCAGCAGAGAAGTTAAACAAGAAAAGCACTGAACCAAAACACTAAAATTTCTTCTCACCTACTTTCCTGTACATCTTGTTTAAACTCCTTTACATGCTATGGCTCTGCAATGTTGGCTATTTCCCCAGTCACAAATTAAATTATTCAGTTCAGACATCTCTATTTTTTTTGACTTATTTATATTCATGTAAGCATGTTTCAAGAACACATACACATTATACTATATTAAAATATCTTTTCTTGAATGATTTTAAAGTTTTAATAGCATCTTAAATTTCTCTTGTGCTTAACTCAAAGGGCAAGTACTCCTGAAAGTTTTGAACAAGAAGCCCTCTTAGTCCTAAAAACTAGAGCCACTACTTATTTCATCAAATTTAGCTTAAAACACTATGACTGATTAATTAATATGTGTTCATGATTTCTTGAAACACGAGTAGTCTGTGCATCACTATCCAAGAAGCATAAATATAAGAACAACTTAGTTATTTTCCACCAAAATAACAGGAGCTATAAGGACTGTTGCTGAAATAACATTTTTGAGATTTTTAGGCAAGAAGGTTGGAACAAGAGAGTAAGAATTAAAACATTAGTTGGCTGTTTTGAAAAACAAATTAAATCTTTTTTTAAAAGGAAAAGGTGCTGCTAAAATAAAATCTCCCCAAATTCCATTTCTGCATTATTTGTTAAGCTAAAACTACCACTGAGAGGCCAGAGGGGAGAGCAGAGCAGAACAGAGGGGCCATCTAATAAGAATGATCATCTGTTGATGGTTATAGGGGTAACCTTTTACACAAGAGCACAGAAAGGACAATGCTCTGCTCAGATCTCCGTTATCACAGATGTTTCATATCTTTCGGATTCAGTGTGGTAGCCAAATATTCCCAGAACCTCTTGAGATATGTAATTAGCTATCTGTGTGGTCTCTTCTTTGTCAGACCTGTAAGTGTTTTGGTTCTCTGCTTAAAGTAAATACAAAAATTTTCATACATTTTCTACACATCTGCAGAGGGAGCTTCAGTTTTCCAGTTTATTCAATATAATGTCTAAAAGGCTAAACAATATTCAGAGAGATGTTTGAGTTAGTGGGACTGATCCAGCTTAACACTGAAACACTAAAATTCATGGCACAGTGGGGCTAAGAAATCCGAAGAAATCACTTACTGTGGTAACATCTGGCCTTTGGTCCAAACAGCGTCCCACATCTGCATCATGCATGTGGGATGGGTCCAAGATCAAAGTGCCCCCACAAGAAAGTGTCTGACCCTCTCAACCATTGTTGGCTGGCATGGGATGGACCCATGAGGGTAAAAGCTAGAAGGCTGGCTGTCACCTACCCCATCCTTCCCTGACTACACAGGCAGTACGACGTCGTCAAAAATGTAGGATGCCCTGCAAACTTAGTTTAATCTAGCTCCTGAACCTACTTCTTAGCAGGATTGAGCATTGTATAGAAGGCACATTGATCCAGTTCTGACTTGTTTATTTGGTGTGTACTGAGATTTCAGAACAGGTGGCCAAACCTGCTTGTTACAAACATCTTGGAAGGCTATAGCTTAGGTTAGAAGACTTACATGTCAGGACTTGTCTGAAAAGCTGCTTGCTAAATTTACAGTCAACAGCTGAGATTATGGAGGTGAGTTGCTTCAGATGGGAAATGAGATAGTATCAAAGAAAATCTTTGCTCTTCTCCAGAAATATTATTTTACTATCCCATAGTAGATTAGTCTTTTCATGTGGTAAATGGATGATACCTTCCATTAATCACCCTATACCCTGAAAATGCCTTAATAAAGAACTATTACTATTACAAAGAACTATTAAATGAAGTATCTTCCATAAACTGACCACATCAAACGCAGTGAACACATGGCAGTAGTGGTGACTAGTCTTCAAGTCTTTCGTGATGTACGCAAACGTAGAAAGGTCTTCAGGGTCTTGTGCAGCACAGGAAATGTTACGGATTTCATGTTCAGCAATAATGTTCTGTTTAAAAAAAATATTTTCAATCAATTTAGGAATTACATGTAAAAGAGCCATAAAAGTGGTTTTAGATTTGCATTTATGTTCATCTGTTGTGCTGAAGTATTTCAGAAGTTTCTTAATAAGAAGAGATTTAATACCCCTCATGCATGATCTTACAAAGGACATAGGAATTTTGACACTCTCCAATGATATCTAAAATTGCCTTTAATCTGGTAGGAAACAACTACATTCTAGAGTCTTCCCTTGAAGAGGGACAAACAAAGTTTGACTTTGGTTTTGTACAGTTTATTCAGTATCCTATGACACAGAGACATCTTTCCCAGCATACAGCTGTAAATACAGTTTCAAAGCACTATATGAGCATCTTATGATGCTGCTGGTTTTCTGTCTCATGATCATTACATGACACTGTTTCAGTCTACTGATAAGACAAGATCTGGTAAACCAAACAGGCTCAATATCCAGGTTTTCGCATGTGGTGTCTGATAAATTTCAGCTATGCTTTTTCAAGAGAAAAAGAAAGACACCAAACATCACTTATAACTGAAACCCTGAGCTTCAAAAGGTTTCTGCTTAGTAAAAAGGTAACTACAGAAGGATCTAGCAACTTTTCTCCACTTACTGACAACCGCATCCTGTAAGAGAGATGTAGAAAAATTAAAACATTCATGCACCGAGCAACACTACTTGCAACAGCCAATGTAAGCTATAGCATACTATTGAGATAGAGGTGGGGCATGTCTGCCCAATGAAATAAAAAAAAAAAGCTGTCTTAAAGCTTTGGAGAAAATTATGAATATTCATCACATAAATTACATAAATTGCTGATATGTAACTACTGTGTTCAGGCCAAAGGAACCATGAAGCCAGAGAAGAAGATACTGCAGAGTGGCTTATGATTAGGCCTTGCTTCAGCAACACATGCATTTCAAATGATTTATTTAAACAGAAAAATGATTCATTGAATACGAATTTACCTAGTGGTTAGTTTACATGCTTTTCTGAATTGTGGCCCTGCTGTCTGTAACTCTGGCTTTTCCACAAAAATACCCAAAGACCACAAGCCTGCTGCAACTTGACATTGCTACTGAACCACAGAACACATGACATCTGTCATGTCCCAGTCCCTCGCAGAGCCCCTGTGTGCTGCTGCCTCAGTGGCATCTGTCCAAGTTAAAACAATCTCTGAGTATCTCTGGTTTCCTCTCACCCCTCTCTTTTCCTTCCCACCTCCTTCTCCCCACCCTCCACCCCTCTTTTTTTTTTTTTTTTTTTTTTTTTTTTTTTTTGTTAAAGAACAGGAGATATACGCAACTAAGTCACTTAAGATGCTTTGCCATATCTTCTCTCATTTGCTAAGTGGCAACTTTCCCCCTTGCATGTAGGTGTCAAGTTTTCAAAAAGACACATTAATATATCTAATTGAAGAAATCATGGCTTAGGAAAAATGTTAATAAAAAGCATTCTAAATTTCAAATTATGGAAAAACCAAGCTAAGGAAACTGTTACTGAAGAAATGAAATAATCCTCTTAATCTTAAATTGTTGCAACATACTTGATTATTTCTACTTAATACATTATTCGTAAAAATTACAAAAGCAGTACTTATGTTTCAATATATGCCAATTTATAATGACACATATAATCTCTGCTTAACAATCACTGGCTTTTTATGTTACTTTAAGCATTTTATTTTCTTTGTTCTCAAATTGATAACTTTTACCCTCAATGAAGATTTTGATGAGTATTACAATTATACCAAAACCAGGGATTTAGATATCCACAGATATAGCTGTAATATATTGTTATTGATATTGTATTGGCAACTTTGTAGTTTAAAAAGCAGAAAGAATTGAAGCTTGGAAGGTCTTCAAATCATGTGAAATATTTCTGCAAAATCATGAACCACAAAGTAATCACCTGAAATTAGGCAGTGCGTGTGGAAAGAACTCTGGTATGCTGAAACTTTTCATAGGTGACCTGGGGGTGACACAGGGCTTTGCACTTCAGTCAGAACTCATGGAGATTATGTTAATGTTTTAACTTTAAACCAAGTGAAAAGTTTGGAAACATATCCATATCAAGTTTGTTTTGAATAAAATGAGGTATACCTAAACTAAATCTTCTGGATGAAAATTAGTAGTTAAAGTGAGCTTTTCTGTAGCTTCTACAGGACATCCTCTGTGATCTCCTTTCAAAATTAAACATGTTTTCAGTGCATGTGTTTACTGTTTCCTGGGGTCATTACTCGATTAGACCCACTGTCTTATTCTGTCAAAATTACAAGGCTATGAACCAGCTTGCTGTTCTGGGTACACTCCTCAGGCATTGACTGACACTGTGCAGGCATCATTCTAAAAATTGTCACTCAGTTTGGCAAGAGAAACCTCCAGCTCTTCTCAAAAAGCAGGGAAGCTGAAAGTTGGGTCTGGTTCTGCTAAGGAAATATCTTGGAGAGATCAGGTTTTTGCTAAGCTCCCTTCCTTTTGCTTGCCTACCTCATGTCAGCCAAGCGCCCTCCTGGCAGAAATCATCCAGAAATTAGGGTTAGCTGTGACCCACAAAAATTCTGCAAGTCTGCATTTTCCTAAGCAGCAATTTCTTTCTGGCCTTATTTGCAAAGAAATGGTGTAATGTCAAAGTGGTGTCATGCCAAGCTTCGAGGTGCCACTGAAATAGCTGTAGTAGAATGAGGTCAGGGCCCCATTGTCACCTGAAGCTTTGCTTGCTACGACTCAGAATACAAATTCTTAGCTTGGTAGCATAAAGGAAAAGGATGAACAGCCATGAGAGCTGAGTTTTCAAGCACATAACTGCTAGCTATTGTTGTAATTAAAAAGTATGCATTTATTGCTAAGTGGTGCCCAGCGCTGTCAACTAGAAGCTCATATGGAAGCAGTACAAGTCTGAATATGATCTCACCTTAGTGCTAATCTGTTTTGGGTCTTGAAGGAATTGGGTACAGCACACTGTGGACAAGGATGATAACAACGCTCCTGGGAGAGCTGCAGGCTATTACCTGGTTTTTACAGAAGGGAAAGGCAGTGCAGATTTTGAACTTGAGAGAAGCAATCTACCACTTGAGAAAAAACACAAGACTCTGGCATTATTTACCTCCATCAAATACATCTATTGCACTACTGGGTGTAAGATTTCAGTGGGACCGGTCTCGAGCCACCTAATGCAATTTGCCAAACTTCTTTCAAGTTTCTTCTTACGTAAGATTATATGCACTGTGCAGAGAGATACTGGAAGTTCCTTTTCTTCTCCTGATTTTTTTTTAAAACCTAAAGACATTGCAGTTACATCCTTTACACTACAGAGGAGATTTAAAGGCTGAAAACAGCCTTATCCAAGTTAGAGTTAATAGCATTACAATGTCCTGATTTATGCCCTGCATGTCAGAGAACACAAAGGAAATGAGGGTTGTAAAACCTCAGTTTTGAATCAATGGAAGAAAAAGGAGCTGACAGGAATCCCTGTCCTCTCTGCTCTGGCAAATATGCCAGACTTGACATAACAGTAACTTCACCACTGCCATCTTCTAACCCTGGATACGACTTCCAAACTCTAGCAGAAGTTCACAAATCTGCTTTTGTTCCTTCATTTAAAACCCAGTCCTAGTTAAAACACCTTTAAAAACTGACTGATCTGGCAAGTTTGACAGGTACTGGGTTAGATGTATTGTGTGGTCTGAATGTTCAGCAACACAAAGCAGTTATATACATTATTAACCTGGTCAGGTAGCTGGGTAGTCAGATTTATTTTTCGTATTGCTTAGTGAATTTTAGTCACATAACAGAGAAGATAATTTCTTCTCTATTCATATGCAAACATCAGTATGGACTGCATTTGCTTGCCACTGTAGACATCCAAAGAAGAGACATTCATGTATTACTTTATTTTGTCTTACAGAGCTTGTACATTTTACTTTGGCTAAGCAATATCCCATTGCTTTATTCATCACTGAATTCTCTGATCTTTCAATTTCTGCTTTTTTTTTTAATTAAAAAAGATCTTGGATGCATGTAAACATGTAAGAAAAAAGCACAGGGGTGTTGTCACACAGGAAGATGAAAAAAACATGGAATAAAAACTATTAAGAAGCTGCTGCAGGTTCAGGGAGTCAAACTGCTAGTACCAGGGAAACAGCTGTCAGAGAGGCTCTGACATTTGGAAAGGACATTTGAGGCTCATGTTTCTTGTTCTTACAATGGCTGGCCCTGGATGAAATGTTGCATCTTTATTGTGCATTGAGACATCTTTATATGTTTATTTTTTTTGCCCAAAAATATATTCATGAACAAACATATATTTTTTTCTGCATATTAAGGAATTGTATAGGGAAGAATATGGTAAAGGATTCCACAGAGGCTCCCTGCCAAATGTTGTTTGTGATAAGCTTGCCTTTTCATGGCAGAAGGTTGGACACAATGTTCTCCAAATGAGCCATTAAAGCTACTTCACTTGTCCTCCAGACTGAGTTTCTGCAGAATGACAATAAGATTACATCCATTTTGAAGAGAAGAGAAAAAAGGAGAGGAAAACACAAGGTGCAATTCTGTCCCCTCTCTGGCCTAGTGCTCTTACAGAGCCAGCCTCATAGGTATTTCAATTTTTGAGAAATTAAAGCTAACATTGAACAATCGCACATACCTTATTTGTTGCATCAATAAATTTGACTCCCTTGTAAGAGACAGACAGGACAATGGTTGGTACTTTCTTCATTTGTTCTGTAGACTTCTGAAATCAAAACGAAGATGTTGTTAGAGTTGTGTTGCATTGCAAGAAGAGCGCTCTTTCTCTTCTTTTGCTGAGAAAAATACATAAGTTAAACAAAAGGTACTTGTCCAAATATTTTACTTTTTCTGAAGCTGACTATGCTCAGGGCTTTTGAAATAGCTATCTTGTAGTTACAAAACTAAAAAGAGCTTTACAGTTTGGTGCAAGGACGGTAACAATTTTCCTTTTTCCTAGCACAATGGGAAGAGAATGAAATAAGTTTGTCAAGCTTAGAAAGACCAGTCATGCAATCAAAGGTTTCCCAAAACGTGCACGTTTAAGATGTTTATCTGATATGCCCCATTCATCCCTGCCTCCCCTCCCTTCTTCCTGCCCTTCCCAGCTGTAAAAACCAGCAGCGCGGTACCTCTTGTAGTACTGTTTCTGTGCTGCAATTAGTTATTATTTAGAAATACTTCATTCTCTCCTTCTTGCAGTTGTATTTGTGACATGAGACAGCCCTGCAGGCCTTTAGGCCTGCCAGTCAGTCTGTCAGTCCAATGTTGTATCTTGTCACGTCTGATTGTCTGCACTTCCTTGAGTGCAGCTGCTACTGGAAGCTGCTTTACACATCAGTTAGCACGGAGGCTTATTCTGCATTCCCTCACTGCTAGGTGCTCCTACCTACACTTCATGTCTTCCTATAAGGCAATTTTTTTCTTTTATGCTACTCAACTTCTATGTGCCTTCAATATGATGCACACAGCAGTGATATTTCCTGCCTAACAAATTGGGCAAATATTTGGGATAGAGTTAAGCTCTCTGCAGAAAAACCTGTTGATTAGTTTAGAGATTCAATTTACTTTAGAAAAAAAAAATCACCGCCAAAGAAAGAACAAAAAGGCATAATAGTTTACAGCTGATCTGAATTCTTTTAAGGTGGAAGACAATGATGGACAAGTCTATTCTATACAAAACTACTATAAATAAATAATGTTGATAAAGTTCAGAGAACACTCACTCATGGTAGTATCTGCAAACAATCATAGAGATCAAACAAACATTTTCTTGAGAGGAAAGAGTAAGTTCAGCTACAGTTAAAGACAAAGAAATACCAGCACATGGAATGAAGAGTGTAAACGCATTGAAAGGTCTAGAATTGACACCTAGAAAGATCTTTAGAGCAGCTGAACAGAAGTAGGAGTGGTGGTTTTGTATTCTTCAAGAAAAATAAAATAGCACAGATATAAGCTTAAAACACAGACTGTATGTGAAACAAACTGTCTGAAAAATAGGTGATGGTTACACTACAGAGCAAAGCAAACAAAAGCTGAAAAGAAAAAAACCTGTAATCAAGTCCCCTTATCAGATCTTCTGCCTTCCAGAATCAAATGAGACTCCATTTTTGTCAGCATAAAATTCAAAGCTACAGATCCAGCTACGTTCTGCAATTAGTGTCCTGTGCCATGAAGGCTAAAACTGATAATTAACGTTTCAACGAGAGCCCCACCCATCCATGTAGTACAGAGGACTGGTCCATCTCTCAGTATCAAATGATAAGAGACTCAAGACCATGGTCAAGTGCCCATTCATCCTGGAGGAAGCTTCTTTCATACAGAAAGTCAGGCACTTCTATAAAATGAAAGCTTAAATGGTAAAACATCTTGAAGAATCTAACAAAATCTGAAAGAAGACACTGATCTGATTTGCATGTCTCTGAACTGAGTGGAGAAAGAAACAGTATCCCTCACAAAAGCAGAGCAAGTACATACCTGCATGTGTCTTGATAATGGATCTCAAATGAGCCTTTTCACAAAATTAAATTTTAATGCACAGAAAGCATGACAGTGACTGTACAGAAGCTGCAGTACATACATCTATCAGAATAACAAGCAATATACCCCGCATATGCTCTTATCTAGACAAAACACTCACAAATATGACAACATCACTTTAATCATCTGGCAACCTACCAATCATCCAACTTTTGTCCTTTCTTTCTATCCCGACAGCTACTCTCAGGAGCTCTTTGTCTCCCATTTTGATTATTGTAATTATCTCCTTCCTCGCCTCCTTAGCAGCAAAATTCCTCTTCTCCAACACGCTACACAGACAAGCTACTAAGTTAATTTATTTTAGCTTTTTGGTCTAATTTGCACTATCTTCCATTTGCCATAAAGGTGAAACTTCCTGTTGGTGAGGCCACGTTGTACTAACCATCTGGAAGTCCTCTTTCACCTAGACCAGGAGTTTGTAATTTAATCATCTTCCTTATCTGCTCTGCATTCACCTGAGTTTGTCTAGAGCAGACCTGATCTTTAGTATTTAATGGAGGTCATGAACTGCCAAAAGACTGTATCTGAGTGAAATAGCTCATCAAGATACTATTAAATTATATCTGGCAAATTAGGAAATGAATCAGAGACTGATGGACATTTGTAATTTATTAAGCCAAACTGTCTCAGCTGGTAAGGAGCAGTGGATGTCCCTTATCAGCAGCTTGCAAACCACACAAACGCCAGGATTTGTGCAAAGGTGTTCTGGACGACTGTAGCCCAGCGTAGAAACATGATTTTGGGAAACAATTCAGCACTCGTACCTCCATTGCAACAAACAGTTGGGCAGTGGAATAACATCCTTGGTTATTATGACAGTGCTATCATGAAAAAAACACAGCTCTATATCCGTCCCCCACACTCGACTCCCAGCGATGAAGTCCACCATGTAATCCCAGGAAGTTTCGACACTCTAACAGTTTTGAGTTGTCAGGGTGAGCTCATACTACTTGCTTGTTGTTCCTTTCTTTTAAATGGAGGAGGTGGCTGCCAGGATGTGTACCATGAGTTTTCAGAGATACAGCATGAATACCATTCACTCCGGCACTATAACTGCTTTGGCTCTAAAACCTAGGATGTTGAAATGAAGTCCCACAGCTTTTGTAGTCAGACATTTCACACCTCTGTGTAAGCCAAGTGGGCATTTCTGCCTGTGCCTGTGACCAGAATCTGAGAAAAAGGTGGGACACAGGAGTCAGTATTCTCTTTTCTTGGGCTTTTCAGGTTCTAGCCACTGTATCAACTCTATGAGGACATGATGAGATGACAAAATACTCTTGTCCATCTGGTGCCTCTATGGGAACCGTATGGACTTGAGCCAAAGTTATAGGAGCCACAGCCGAAAGCTGGGATGGGATGTCATGTGCATGCTGACATATGGTCTAATGCTCCAAGGCATGTTCATACCATGGTAGCAGCATCAGATTTTCTCATGTAGAAGCAATCATAGTGACAGGACCCTGTCTTTGGGCAAGTGCTTACTAACCTGGAACCAGTCATAGTTCCTATGAACTCCATTGTTTTTGACTGCAACTTTGGCTCTTTGTCTTAAGACACTTCTTTAGGAGAATCATCTGGATGAACAGCAAGTATATTCTGGGCTTGTTGCCACTGCCTGCCTCTGATCAGCTGGTCACCTGCATAAAGACAGATGTGCATGCCCTGCCTCCTCAGGTGCACTGCTCCTACAGCGAGGAGTCTTAATGCTGCAGAGTCTGTGTGCCAGAGACTGAGCTTTGGTCCCACTTCTGAAACACTTCTTACGGGACAGGTAGATGACTATGTGGAAGTAGGCCATGTGTAACTCAAGAACCACAAAGCAGGCTTGACTGCAGACACAGGAAGATGGAAGAAAGCATCACCATCCTACATCTAATGTGACATTTGTTCAGACTCTCCAAAAGACATACAGCCTCTTTTTCCTCAGAATAAAGAGTATTGGGAAGAGCAGCCTCTCCTGTATCTTGATGCAGCTGCTGTGATGAAGCTGCTTCATCCCCTCAGCACCCAGAATGGGGATCCATCCAGTATGAGGAGGTCGAAGGCATCTTCAGCATAATTGCCTAGTTATTACAGTGCTTGCTTTTGAATAAAAGTCTGGATTTAAGACCCTCCTGAGTCTGCATCTGAATCCACTGCTGCTGTTACACAGGACAGTGCCAAAACCCTGAGTAGCCTTGGGACAGGGCTGCTCCCAATTCCACCTTTTGAAACTGGTCATAAAGGAGTGCAAGAGCACTGCTGCCAGAGAGTGAGAGAACAAGCTTGCTTCTGATCTTGTTTATGAATTTTCTTTAGTTTCACTGGAAAAAATACCATACTCACAAGCAGACTCTAAACAGATTTCCATAGTATAGTACTACAACTTAAGTGGGTAAAACATTTCCACCTGTATTTTGATTTTGAGTTAAAGGCTGTGCAGAACCACTAGACATTTATTTAGAATATGAACAAAAATCCAACTAATTTGGGATTCCACCCAGCCACTGTGCCTAACAAGATAATTAGCAATGGCTTAAGAGGCAAAGGTCTTTGTTCTATGAATAAAGCAATATAAACTAGCTGTTTATTTTTTAAAAGCAAATACATGCAAATACAAAACCTATAACTCTAAAGGGCCTTTAGCCTTTTCGAGACAGGATTGTACTGCAATACCTTGCTCTGTGCAGAACTGAGAGCACTAATCCAACACTTTTGAGTACTCCTGCAGTGTACAAAACATGGTATCTCTGTGCACATACACACACACAAAGCAGATGAATAAGAAATTCAGGAGCACACACAGAATGGTGTCCGAGTAAGATGATCACATATTCATTTGATATACTGTAGCACATGGTGTAATCCATCCCACTCCCAAAATACTTCAGTCTCATCTATTTATTTCCTGCCAAAGAGGAAGTGGGATACACTGGTACTTCTACTTTGCCATGTTGACCACTTTCACGTACTTATATATACATCTATAATTGGATTACTCAGCTTTCATACAGTGGTGAAAATGAAACCATGGCCATTTTTAGGTTTTACTGCATATGTCATTGTAATTGATGTTGCAAATACACAGTAAAAAGACAGTATTCAATTATGGGAAGTCACTAACAATTCCATGCATAAATTCTGAGTACAAGCTTATAAGCCTGTAAAATCTTAAGATTTCATTGTGGCTTTTTACTTTTGCACATATATCTGCTGATTCTGTCCTATACTGATTTTTAATAGCTAGATGAAGACCGTAGCTGGCAATTTTACTATTCAGTCACACACTGGAATCCACTCCACTATGAGAATCTGAACATTTTCCCATACTGGTAGCAATGATTAATGCCAAATGGCATCAAACTGCACATTTCAAAATATATATTTGTACCACTTACTATCATACCCCTAAGTCTGTTACTTATTTAAGGCTTATGAAACCTCATTAAACAGTTCATTTTGAGTGAATCACTTTGACAAGTTAAAAACAAGTTAAATAAAAAGTCAAAGTTCACATTTGACCAGTTAGTTTTGAAGCCAACTCTGAAACTACAATGTGCCTTGTAACAAATATTTACTAACTTCTCTCAGTCCAAAAGGCTTAAAAATGCATCACTGACATTAATTTTAAAACTCTTGGAATAAGATAGCATCTGTAATCCCTGTGGTACAAGACTGTTTACTTCTCTACAATTAGTGGATGCCTCCAAGCTACATCATTAATATGAACATTGAACTGGGGATGCACCTGCATCTCATCTACTTGAGAAGGAGAGGTTTTTTTCTTTTGCAATATCTGTACACACTCATCTGCTGCTGAAAGGGCAGCACATCCCTCCTGCACCTTGTGTTCCTTTCAAACCAAGAGTTCAAGGACATACAATCGTCTGAAGAACACGGGATGGCATGATGTGGAGGTGCATAAGGACTGAACGTATTTAAGACCTCTCATCACTTCTTTTTTTCCTTTTGAGTAATATCCATGTGCCTGTTCCACTGCAGGCCCTCCCAAAGCAGTGGCCAGATGAGGGAGACAGAGCTACAAGTCCCAAGAGGAGAGAGACCAAAGAATCTAAATTCTCAAATATGGTATTTGATCCTGGCATGGTATTTGCCCATCTAGTTTCACCCAGGAGGCCCATAGGGGACACTTCTACTTCTGGGAGAGAAATGAAATGTAGACTGAAAAGTAGAAAGGGATTAGCAGAAACAAGGAGACTGCCATCTATATCCAGGTCCTCCTTCTTTATGTAAGAAAAAAATGAGGAAGGAATGCCACAGACCCAGCCTATTTTCAGTGAAAGAGTCAACTCTGCTTCATCTTCATGTTCCTCTCCAGAGATAAGAGAAGCAGACATTGTAACAGTTCCAACTTTGACATTTTGGTCTTAAGTCAGCAAGATATTTCAACACCTGCTTTGTGAACAGAATTATGTTGCTGGTTTCCCAGAACTTTGACTTGAAGTGTAAGAACCTCTTTTCTAAAAAGAAAACCTTTAAGAAAAATACATAATATTCAGGAAAGTGGCAGGATCCAAGAACAAACTCGAAAGTTCCCTACTGCTGCAGTAAATATCTGATTGGTTCAGACCATGCGATTGGTGTACACACCAGTGATTTAACATCAGTGCAAGGGAAGTGTCAACCTTGCTGCTGTGCTTGTGCCAGTAAGTATAAAACCTTCCCCTTCCTACCTGGTCAAGGAATTTAGATGTGTAAATGCCAGATGGAGTCTACTGTAGAGAACAAGTCTCTTTCTAGCTCCAATTACACTTTATTCCTTTTCTCTATTTTGATGTAAGCACATTTTATTCTCGCTTCGTGTTCCTATGGTGATTTGAAGTGAAGGCAGTAATCTGATTGAAAACACAACTTGTAGTATTTCCTATTCCATGCTGAGAAAGATGAAAGCTCTTAAGTTCTTGACGGCACCTCACAAATATAATTAATAAATCTATTCTGGCCAGGACAGCGAGATTTAATCTCCAAGTAACAAAGGTCAGTTTACAGCAGTTGGGGAATGGAGATAAGGAGGCAGTGCTGTTGACTGCAGAGGGAGTTTGTGAGAGAAAATAGCTGGAAACAAATAGGAAACCATAAAATAGAAATCCATCCTTGGGATGCAAATATGTGAATGGGAATATAAAGTAGAATCCTTCAAACAGGCATGTTTTTTGCCAAATATCCATAATTTTGGATGGCTGCAAGGCTCTGCAGTTTGGGTGGGAACAGAAAGCATGTATAACCTTGACCCCCCCATGCTGAGCTCAATCTATTGCATCTGTGTGATTTTCCCAGAGCAAATCCATCATCTGCCCTGCTGGAGCACACCGCTGCACAATGCTGAGAAGCACAGTGGGTAACCAAGAAGAGTCATTAAGACAGAGGTTCCCAGGTTTGGGTTTTTTTTTTTTTTGGTTTTGGTTTGTTTTTTACATATAGAACATTTATGATCTCCCTTCACTCTTAAGCTATAAGAGAAGGAGGCTCCTGTAAGCCCCTCTGTGGAAACACATGAGGGATATCCAAATGATACGTCCCTCAAGAACCATAACCATCAGCTGCGGTAACTGAAAACACAGGAAACATCTGCAACTAACAGGGAGGGATCTGCAGTCAGCAAACATGTCATTTTTGTTGTTTCTCTGTATCTATGAATGATTAAGGAAGATCAAGATACTTTTTTTCACTGATAGGCTTCTTTCGCCCTTGTGCATCTGCTGACTGGAAGACATCCAGTGAATATCAACACTATTCTGAGCAACATTAGGCTAAAGCCACATTGACAGAAAAAACTAAGTACCTATTTTTCATACACTCTCCTTAAAAACCATTATGTGGCTGATCCCAGAAAGATTAAAAAAAATGCGAGGAAGGACCTCAACATGGTACAAGGTTATATGTGATGTACTCCCCCCCAACATGTTTCAGATTGCAGCACATTATAATTTGATATAAATAAATGGAAAAAATATACTAAAACGAAAAAATGTTGCTCTGCACCTGACATGCAGTCAAATAATATATCTAGCTTTCCACTTCTCTTTTGTAAGTGAAATGTTCCTTTCAGTACATTTAAAGTAAAACGTAACTATGAAAGAAGACACATTTTCAATGACAATGCAGTGCTACTTAAATACAAGAATGAACATCACATCACAAGTTCAGGATGGCATAGGACAACCTGGACTTACAATTCATAGACACCAACTTTCAGAACACAAGTAGAGGGAGAAAGTTTTGGAAAATATACATTTTTCTCACTGGGAAACTTATGCTATAATAATAATAATCTGTTCCCATTAAGTCAATGGTTTTTGCTTCTGACTTGAATAGGAATGTGATTAAAAGGACTACACAGAAAGGATAGAAGAAATCCTGATTAAGAATTATTTTATTCAAACTTCTTTGCAATAAAAACCCCCCAAACCAGAAAGTAAACATTCTCACAGCACAATGGTTTCAAAAGACATGTAAAAAAAAAAAAGAAACCCTATCACTGTGTTACATAAGTGCTCTGTATGGTTCTATAGACTACTAGTGTAACTCCCTTATTTTTATAGAAAAATTATATTTTATATTAAATTTGTTTTCAAAAGCACTTACTTTTTCAGGTATATAATTTAAATTTGCCAAATTTATGACGTTAAAAAAAATCTTAAACTAGCTATAAATTATTTAGAGTGACATTTTTGATGTTAAGCTTCCTAGTTCAGTCAAATGACTTACTGAAGATGTCATATGCTACTAGGGTGTCAAATTCTGCCCTAAGATCTGCACAGGCATATGCCTAAAAAAATTGAATTGCTAAATTTGACGGTTTGAAAGCTGGATTGGAAGATGGTATACTTGCAGCCTCAATCCCCCAGAACACGTGTATGCGACTGTAGATCCCTCCATGTCAAATTGTTGCAGCTTTTTTTAGAAGAGTTTAAGCCCAGGTAAGGATGGATTAGCATGCAATTAGCTGAAAAGCCACAGATCTTCACGCAATCTAGTAAGCGTGAATTACTGCCAGCCCTTAGTTAAAACAGCTTGTACAAAAGTCTGTGTGTTGCAGATACGTAACCAACAGGAAATGGGTGTCTGACTGTGTGAATTTTACACATCTTCTCCCTTTATAATTGATCCAAATGCTACGTCTAGTGCTCAGAGGCATCTTGCATAAAAGACTGACAAGCCACGGAAGAAAGGATTTCACTCATTCATCTGTGTAATTTTACATGTTTGGTAGATTAACAAAGAATTATATTCTTCATTAATTAATCATGGCAGACCATGATATGTTCTCCATCTCTATGAACAGGTACATTCTTATTACAACTACAGTTGGGAATAAATCATGTAGCTGGCCTGTGGCTTGTTTTGAGCTTCCTGCAGCGGTATGTTTGTTGGAGACAGACTAAGCCTCATTGTAATTTTCTACAAACCAATATCAGGCCAAAGAGCCACAGGAAAACATACTCTTGAAGGAGACCTAACTATTTTTCCACCACCAGGTGAACCTGAATTAGATCTCTTTTCATCCTTCAATCAATAAGCATGTAAGTAACTCATAATAAATGGGAATACTCATGTGAGTAAAGGCATCTAAAAGATTATGTGACTGTAGAATTAGACTATATGTGAAAAACATGGCTTTGGTAACATGTTAACATATTTATTAGTACATATTTTCACGTAGTAAATTCAATCTAGACTTTCATATATGAGCTACAAATTCTGTTTAAAAGCTATGTGATATGGGTACATTTCAAGTGTGTGGAAAGTACTTTGAAACATATTAGAAGATTCTAGAGAAAACATAACATATACATTTGTTTTTTCTTAGCTACAACATGCAAAATAAAAATCTATCTTTAAATTTTGGTATTACTAGAAATTAAGACAAAAGGCAGAAGAGATTTATTACTGAATGCGAATGTAAAAGCAAAGGTGATGGAAAACTGATAGTAACACAACATTATAAAGCAAAAAGGGCACGACACAAGTAATCACAAGTTAATATTATTTAACATTACGATGACAAAGAAAGGAGCAGGTTTACTAACTTACCCTCATCTTTGCACATGCATCCTGTGTTGACTCTGTGCCTCTTAACTCTTTTACCAGCATAGAACCTAAATACTAAAAGAAAAATCCATTAAATTTAATTTAACTAAAATTCCAGAACAAACATCTGCAGAAATGCACTGAAAATGCCTAAAAAACCATAGTGGTAGCAGTCAGCTTAATACATGGCTTTAGTGTTTTTTTCACTCTGCAGTTCTCTGATAAATCACTTAAACCAGTGTGTTAATCAGCCTATGAAACAGGAATGCACAGCAACACATACTGAATCAGATCAAGCCCTTTGAAACGGTATCTGAAAGTCTTCTAGCTTAACACCTTAGTCACTCAAACAACAAGCAAATACTACAGGTTCCATCTTAAAAATGCCATTTGATTAAAAAATGCAGAATCTGCTTTTTTTAGCTGCCATCTGCCAAACTCATATTGCTACGTGTGCACTCACGTGGATGTGAAGGGCAGCAGCGATGTTAACCCCCCGTGTATTCAATGTGTAACTAATTTATCTGCAAAACAGCAGAGCCTGATGTCAGCAAACAGAAAAAATAAATCTGAAACAAAAACTAGTTTAAAACTTTACTTCTTCCTAAGAAAAGGCTGACCCTTAACTATTATTTTAAAGCCTTTACTGAATCTGAAGGATGGCTGGGTGAAAGGAAGCAGCATGATGCTGGTGCTGGGTCCTTGCTCAGCTCACTGAAGGCCACCATGCTCTCAGAGGAGCCTGCTCACGTCCCAGGGTTCATGAGGCAGCAATTGCCTCACTGACACAACCCCTTTCCTACCTGCCTCTTCCTCACTATGTCACTTGCTGGCGTTTGCAGTTTGAGCCCTCCTGCACCCTGACAGCAGGCTCTGCTCCTCTGGATTTGTTCCTCTGGGGTCTCAGTATCTCTCTACACCACGTTTGAACGGTGCTGCTCCTCGAGGGATTGAGCCTCTGCATTATCCCTACCATTCTCTTCCATCAGCAAGTTACTGCTTAACAGGGCTGTGCGCTACGCGTTTCTCCTATAGACACTACAGGCATGTGCATTTGTGGATGCCACATGTTCGTATAGCTCTGTGCACACAGGATGTTTTTGTATTTCTGTATGGTGTCACATACAAGTCTGGCTTAACTGGGGAAAGAGGATAGGAAGCCACCCCTTGTCTTCTCCTCCCCAGGCACAGAGATGTCTCTCTTTGCATTCTTACTGCAGCACAATGCCATGGCTTCTCTTAAGTCTTCAGTCCTAAGTGAGCAACGTGGGAACTGAAGAGAAATCACGCCAACTGGTGAGAACAGGGTAGGTGAGCTGCATGAGGAGAGAAAGTGCCATTGCAGCCCACCACCGCTCTTTCCACCACCTTTCCTTCTACCACACTGACTCCCCTTGGAAACAGGCTAAGCTGACCCAACTAGATAGTGAACCAGCTTCATCTTAAACAAGAACCTATAAAAAATAACTTCAGTTATAGCTGAATGCAAGCTGGAACTGAACAGAAAGTCTGTTGGTTCAACACTCTGGTCTCTTGACCTAAACCGAGATATTTTCTTTAAAGACTTCACCTCACACTGTGTACCGTAGGAGTCTCTGACCTGCAAGAAAATGCATAAATATTTCAATGTAGACAGTAGCCAACACGGTAATTAGTGAGAAACACTTTATAGGGCATTATAAGTGGAAGGGTGAGCAACACCAACACTACCAGATAAGCACAAACAGAAAGGAACAAATGATTTGGAGGACTGCAGATGTGAAAGATTCATAAACCAAGCAGCTGTGAGTCCAGCTGGGGGCTCGATGGTGACATGAATAGGGCTTTGGCCATTAATTTGATGGGACGGCTTGATATCACCCTTGCAGAAGAAGAACAAATCTAAAGCAAGCTCTGAAATTAGAAAATCAAACAAAACTGTACTGAATAGAACTGTATTTTTTTCTGGATCCTGCTGTCTGACACCTTTGGTGTCCTTAGCCTTCTCTGGGAAATATGCAATTAATTTCTTCTTCTTTTTTTTATTTATTTTTTTTTATAGACTATGGCACAACAAATTGATATTTCCTTGAAAGCTACCAGTTGGTCAGGCATCAGGGAAAAAAAAAGCAGTGCTTCTGAGCTCATGGCAGAACAAGAGGAAGAAAGAGAAGAGACAGGAAGCTCCTCTCCCATCTGCACAGCAGCAAAAAGACTGCGGGCCTTCACAAATGCTTCCCAGGGTGGAGTGTGGAATAGACAAAGAAATCACAGAGGTACCGTCCAATTTAGTTGTCAGAAAAATCTGAAATTCTACGAGGGAATTTTGCTTTCCTTTGAGTTGCTATACTTTTGCAAATGTTCCTTCTCAAAGACCCAGAGCATGTGGGAGCAATGCAGAGGACATCCAACAGTTCAGCAGAGTGATGTGGCATACAATGAAAACTGCTCCCATTATAACTTCCAAGCCAGGGTTTTACTCCATAAAGCTAGGGTCATTACAGCTCAGGAAGCTGAGACAATGCAGTGATGCACAGTGCTTAGAAAAGGAAGATGTTTTCTTAATCACCAGTTAACTTGGATATGTTGCTTTGGTGATTCCTTAATCACCAGTAACTTGGATATTCCTGGTCATCCTGACTTAATTTCTTCAATGCTCCACATGCCTTCTGATCTACTACAAAGGTTACAATCTGATTATGAATTTACTGATGGATTAAGTAACAAGGTAAGAGACATTCAAGATAAACCTGCTCACTTTACTGAAAACTACGAAAAGTAAAGAACTAGAACTCACTAAGCTTCCTTTTGAATTTGAGGTGCTGCATAGGAGGAGAGCAAGACTGAGAGCAGACAAGCTGGACCTTGACTGTGACTTGCTGAGGAAGGCAGAGGTTCTAGTTACTGTCCAGGGACAGCCACTGCATTCATGGCAATTTCTACCCTACGAAAATCTGATGGAAGATACAGACCTGGTCTAGCAAGACAGGCCTGTAACACTCCTTCTGTCCCACCTCAGTGGGAACCAGACCCTGCTTCGCCTGCACTTAGTCTCTAGTACCTACCTTCCCGGATATGCTTTAATTCAGGTCCAGCAGCCCCCAACTCTCCCCAAAATGTCCCAGTGTTTGTTGAACAGAGCATTATCCTAAAAAGCACTAAAGATCCAAGCCCCTTCAGGTGAAGAGGATCTAAAACCCATGTGCTGGACAAGTGGTTAACCCCTAGCTATTATGCTAAAGGCACTACAACTACTGAGTTCCTTCACATTGTAAAATAAGTTACCCTTGCTTCATTAGGTGGCCAGCTCCGAAGAGGACACAGCGGTCTGGGAAGCACCTTCATCAACTTTAACAGCACTTTCCAGCAAAGTCGGAAGGGGAAATGTAAGAGTTTAAATAGGTGGGCTGAGGCACCTCTTCAGCTCCCAAGAAGCACCAGCCCCCCTGCCCTGTTGAGGGGAAACTCAAGGCTTCAGGAAAGTGTTTTTAATTTAAAATACAAAGTATCCCAAAACGACTTTCTGTACCTCAGGACACTCTCCCCTCCTTCACAAGCATTTATAACAGTTAGAGAATGCTAATTGTCTTTAGCTATAGAAGGAAGCTCCGTTTCTCCAAGGATGGCAAATGGGAATCAGTTACAGTCATCTGGAGGCAAGAATAAATTCTCCCTGCTCTGAAGGAACTGACTGCTTCTGGTACTTCAAGTAGTCATCAATTTGTGTCCTTGTCCCGTGGATGGAAAACACTGCTCCAGGACCCTGATCTCCATCTTCCCTAAATCCCTTCCCCAAAAACAGGTGTATAAAATTCAGGCAAGGCAATACCTGCTTTAACTACTGTACACACAGCATTAAGGCATGCATGAGGATCCTATATTATGTTTTACTATTTTTCCATATGTACTAGACAGGGAATTGTGGCAGATGAGAAGGAGGGGTGTTTGCTCTCACTGTCACTTCTACAACACTTAGCCACTTATTCATAATGTCATTTCTCGAACACTATTGCTACATGGATTGCAATATATCACAAAATTCACAGCAAAAAGTACTGTGCATCCTTGTTTCTCATTTATTACAATGACAGTATTTCATAGGAAGTGGCCTGTTTCATTAAAAGTGATTGAAAAAATATTATAAATGAAAAAAAAAACCCAACAGTCTATCAAAATAAAAGATTAATATATCTACCCCAAATCAAACCACTAAATTTATCAACACTTACAAATGCTTTATAATCACATGACTGGAAGATGAGTTTCTCTGGATGATGTTGCCAATATTGTACAGGCGTTGATGCTGTGGCTTCATTTGGAGGTCGCAAGGTAATTGAAGGCTCTCCCCAGTCTCCTGTCTGAAAAATCACAGTTGTTTGAGATGTAAGAGAAGTTGCAGGCAAATTCGCTCTAAAGTAGCCCTAAATTGTTGTGCTCAATTAACAATAATTTATTTTCTAAACATAGAGCCATGTTACTAAAATAAGGGAATACAACTCCTACAACATTTTTTTATGATTTAATTTATAATCCAAAGTCATCTACTGTCGCGTTTAATGAGGCTTTAATTAAATCTCTTTGCTTTGAGAGTAAAATCACTAGGTAATGGAAATGTTCCTTAAAAATAACTGTTTACAATACATATATGAGGATGAGAGCACTTGAAAAAAAATCCTGAGATGCACAAAAAATTCCATTCTCAAATTCCGCTATGTGTTTTACAAGTTTTTCTACACAGTTAGTAAGTCTTCCATTATCCAGCACAAATAACCAACAACTAACTTTCCTAAATGGCTAAATAACTGAGACTTTGCTTTGATCTGAAGACTTATTATACATTCTTCAAATATATGAGGCATTCTTTAATCTCTTTACGAATATCGACTTTAATCACCTTCTCTTGATGTCTCATTGTAGAGTTACTAACATTGCCCTTACACATTCATCATTCTCACTGATACAGGTGAATGCCTTCCTGAGCTGTCATCTCCCCTCTTTCCTCAAAGCCCTCAGAGAACATGGGTAGGACTGCAGTTTGCTGTCGGACCCCTTCTCAGGACACTCTTCTCCCTACCAAAAAGAGCCAATGCAGGCATCGGTACAGG